CCATTGGGTGTTTGGTTTTTTTGACAGCTCTTTTTAAAACATAGTTATTTTTTTCCCCCTTGTCCTCAGTAAGGGCTGCAAAACCCCTCTGTGACAGTGGATGTTGTTTAAAAACTGCCTGGTTATAGTGCTAGCCGATTTCCTCACACTTGCAGAGGTATTTCCCCACCACTTTGAGTTGACACTGGGAACATAAAACACCGTCTAAACTGGAACCCGGTGGGCCCTGGCAAAGGAAACTTGCACCTTCAAGAGCTAGAAGGACAGAAAAGGCATGTCCAGAAATGAGTTTGCATTCTGTTTATAATGTCCTACTCAAAGCTGTCTGAAAGTGATCATTACACCAGAGGGGTCAGGAGATATGAACCTGCCACTGTCTTAGTTTATGATTTCTGTAAATGACTTAACTGTTCTGAGCCTCCATTTCTCATCTCTAAAATAATGTTAATGATCCTGATCTATTTGGCAGGGACACTAAGGCTAAAGTCACTTAAGGACTTTCAGGTTCTTAAACAAGTACTAGGGAAATGTCTGGTGTCACTGGATATTGCATCATTAGGCTGACAGTAGGTAATCTTACTACTTACCCTTCAGAACAAGCATATATTTGGGGAGAAGGTCTAAACTTGATATCTCTGTTCAAGGCAAACAACAGGTTAATGCTACACTATGGTAGATTTTAATGGCTGCATAGGAAATATCACAAGGATTGACAGTTCTGTGTCCAGGGTGAAGAACTGTGGTGCACTTTGTCTCTTATGCCCCTAGGGATGAACTGTGATGTAATAATGGCTCATGCGTAAGAGGTCATCCACACTATCTTCCTCCCAAACTGATGTGTCAGGTGTTCCAGGGGACTGACCATCCCAGATCCACTGCTAAGTGTATTGGGTATAAAAGAATCTTTGAACCACATAGGCCTGAGGAGACAGCCCTTGTATGGGACATGATAGATATCTCAAGGTAAAGTGCCATCATTAGGCTCTTTCACGCTGCTGTTAATTTGGCTTTACATATTTTAACACGCACTGAATTCAACAAAAGCAGGAAATGCAGAGTTCATTACAATATGGAAGGAAATCCATATTAAACAGCCAATAGAAACCTGAACCCCCTGCTTCTCTTCTACCCTAAATGTTGTTATATTATAAACAGGCTTTATAGATTCTTAAAATAAGTCTTGCTACATTCAAAATACTTTTCCTGTTTGATACTTGGATACTTTGGCCCTTATCTATGGTACAGGTATTTGCCAATACAGCCATCTCCATCAAGGATGAAACCTCTCACTGACTTAGCCATCCCACCACACCATAGGGTAGCTGTAGTTTTATGGGTTTTCCCAGATGCTAAGCAAAACGAATTGTAAGGCAGGTGAAAAGCTGGGTTCAGGTGCACCAGCAAAAGTGCTGTTCTACCAGCAGAAGTTGTGTCCATGGTGGAAGTGCTTTGCTGACATCATGTATCCATATACCTGCAGTGGCAAAGTGCCGCAGAGGTCAACCTGGGATAAGGAATGGGTACAACGGGGAAACTAGAGGGGCTTAGTCACTTTCAGTTTGGGAGTGGGGGGAAAGATGATTCTCAAGATAAAATCTTGAGACTTAAAATGACTTCAGAGTATGGAGAGATTCAGTGTTTGATCTGTATGTGCAGATCATACTGACCTCTGTATCCCTATGGTTCATCTAAGCCTATAGCTCTTCCGTATTGATTTGGAAAAAAACTCTCATGCAAGTTCAGGACCCAAGGCTGTATCTACATAGAAGAATCACCAAGGAGGAAGCTAAAATGTGCAAGGAACTGTGACCCCCTTGTAGAGGTGGAGCCAAACAGGAAGATTGCAGACAGAACCATGCATGGAATAGAGAGCCAGCATCCTGTTTTCACTTGAATGACACAAACTGTATCTTCCACTCAAGGAACCAAGATTTAGGGCCACACACTGGCTCCAGAGAGACAGGCCTGGACTAAACAAGGATGCCGTTATTCTAATATTACTATTCTGCAAAGAAGTTTGAATTTAATACTGAAATAACTGAATGGCTCCAGCTCTATATCAATGTAATGGTAGTCACTGTAAAAGATATTTATATTGATCTGGTTAATACCTGCAAATTAAGGTTCTGTGGAGGCGCACCTTGAGGTAGGACATATATTACCCTAGTTATAGCTGTGCAATCTCTGCTGATGTCAGCAAGTTTTGTATGCAAAATGAAGGGCAGTATATGACTCAGACATTACCAAAGACTTAAAGAATCCTTATGATTAGTAAACAAGCTTGAGATAGCCCTAATCAAGAGTGATGCACAGCAGAGAAGGTCAGAAAGAATCAGCCATGTCATTTGTCTGTAATGCACTTTCCATATCTCTAGCCTTGGTGTAGTGACTGCTATAGAGCTGCTATAGTTTACAGACTGTCAGCATTTCTGTTATAAATCTTTTCTGGAGAAGTTTGACTTGATGGTAAACATTTGTTCTGTGAAGAAACTTGGCAAAGGCAAGAGCAGCCTGAAAGAAGCTTGGTTGGGGTGGATGTTATAACCCCCCGGTGGATGTTACACCCCCCCCCCCCCCCCAAAAAAAACAAAACAAAACAAAAAACCCCCAAAAGCACAAAAAAAACCCCCTGTGGAACGGTCCTGCTTGTAGTGTTCAGAAGAGAGAAAAAGGAAAAACGCCACTGGAATTTTGATTCCCTTGTATACTCCTCTCGCCAAAGAGTGGCTTCAATGGTTAAATCAAGATTCCAAAAGAGGTTGGTTTCCTTTGTAGGAGATGTATTGCCTTAAAGTGCAAACCCACAATGATGGAGAGGGTTATGTCAGTTGTCTGGCAGCAAGCGTTCTTGAGGATTTTTTTAAAGAGAATTTAGGATTAAAAAATAAATAAAAATCACCCCCCCCCTTTAGAAATAAAGCCTTTGCATTTTACAGATCGTCTAAGAGTAAAACAAGCAGATGATCTCAGACCATAGTGTACGGAGGAAAAGGAGACGGAATATACGCCAGCTGACAGTCCCTAGATTTGAATGGCTGGGGGTAGGGCGTCTCTGTGATTGATGCTAGAACTTGCTTCCCCCACTTCTCAGTCTGACAGAGTTGGCATTTATGGACCTTGCAACATGCCCTGAAGGTCAGTCTGTTTACCCAGGCATTGTCTGAAGGGGCCAAGGGGGGGATTATTGTTTGTAATAGGGAGGAGCTGATGTTGGGCCAGATCCTTCAAGTCCTCTGTGAACAGCAGTCCTGCTGACTTCCAATGGAGATCAGCACACCCAGGGCTTGCAGAATGGAGCCCATTGGTTGGCTGACATAGTACATAGTTTGCTCCCATCATAAAAAACCTTCAGGCACATTTATAAACTGCACAGGAGAAAGGGGAGACTTAAAATGTACTGAGATTTCCTGCCAATGCAAAATATGCTAATAGAGCTCAATCCTTTAGTCCATAGGTTGAAGAGGGAGTTTAGGGTGAATCTTTCCTAAATGTCTGATTTTTTAAAAAATATTTTTTTAGTGCCAAAAATAGACAGCTTTCTATTCACAAATTTGGTAGTAAACTTAACACCAGAAATAATCATGAAACCAGTGCCCTAAAGTTTTGGTATGCACGCACACACAGTACACTTCAAAATGCAGCATGAATATTTTTTTTTTGTTCCTCTTGGGTCTAGTTTCCGTTGCATCACGCAGTGGAAGTAAACTGGTGAGGAATTTTGGATGAACAAGACATGCAGATTCAGCTCCATAGTTCATCATATATAATTTGTCACTAAAACAATCCCAGTGAAAAAGAAAAGGTCAGGAAAGAGGCTCGTGAAAAGTCTCAAATAAATTGGCAAGGAGACAGGTCTGGTTAGATCACACACTTCAAAATATTTAGTGATTTCTCCTGCTTCTTGGCCTGAAATCTTTACAGTGAGAAATTCTTTGGCCTCATCAAAATCAGGACAGCGTAATTGCCTGCCATTAAACGTAACATGCAACTTAGTGGCACAGAGTAGAGATTCCTAAGGATTTGTACCCTGCATTCACTTGCTTGGGTGCATAATCCTAGTTTGTTCTAGTGTTAACACACATCTGAGCCAATACACTGAAGAGCTCTAAATCAGAGTCTGAGGGCTTTTCAAGTCTATAAACCTGCCAACAAAAATTTAAGTCACAGTATCCGTTTAAACGTGACACAAAGGTGCAGTCCTGTACTGTGTATGTGAAATTTTCTTCTGTTTTAGCGTGGATTCTATACTCCAATCAGGGGTATGATGCAGTACTGTGAATTTAACTTAAACCCGAAATTGCATTTAAGATTTGATCCAATACTCCACTTTTCTAAAACTACCATTTTGATACGACTTCAGAGCCAGCATCAAATCCATACAGAAACATTTCTAGAATTAACCGCCCCTCAAAAAATTAAACAATTAGCAAAAGAAATCTTTCCTTGTAGTAACCAAGGCTCAAATTTAGCAGCATCACAAATAAAACAGATGACACAAAAAAAGAAAAGTAGTGTGTTTGTTTCCCCCTCCCCCCGTTGTCTGAACTCAGAAACAAATTGGAAAAAAAAATGACAAAATAAAAAGGATTTTTAAAATGTTCTAATCTCAACATTATTTTAGAAAGATGGATAAATAATTGTGTTTTAAAATATAAAATTAAATTGATATTTTCTGTAGCCACAAAAGGCAGGTAATCTCCATTTGTGGTTGAATCACTTTACTTTATTTCCATATATCAGGACTCCTTAAAAATACAATTGTTACTGTATAAAGGGCACCATTACCCGAGACGGAAGGAGTAGCTGAAGCATAGCCATAAACAGGCAGCACATTCAGTTGGAAATGTGATTGGGGAGAAAATTAAAAAAAAAAAAACAACAGTTGTAGGCTGCGTGCTGGCTCCCAGCAAATGTGTTTGTTTTTAGACTTGCTCATCCCTATTTTTAAATATCAGCCTCCTTGCTCTATAAGTCCACGCAAATTGGAGAAACAGACTGACCGTAGCCCCAGTGCTGCAAGCAAATACTTGTGTTTATGTGAAGACTCATTTATGTGAGGGTCTGCTTGCATGGAGTAGTTTGTTGGATCAGGGTCTTGCAGGGAAGGTATAAAACGCACTCTGTCCACAAAGCGTTCTACAGTACTGAATACATGAAGTTAAACAACCTGGATGGGAGAAACAGCTCTATCAGTTTTTGGGATCAAAGGATTAGGTAAACATTTTCAGACAGATGCACGCTTTAAGCTTGTGTTTCTTTCATTCAGAAAGTCTCCGCTACTGATCTGGGGAGTCAAGTTTGAGACCAGACAAAGCCTAATTGTCTTACATACTGAGTACCCCCCAACACAGCCAAGGTCAATGGGAAATGCGGAGTGTTCAGCAACACAGGACTATATCAGGCCCAAGAGGTCTAAACCTGGCTACAGAAAATGGCTGCTTATGAAAATGTTGACCTCCGTATCTCTGACTTTTCTCCACCCTCAAGAAAAGGGTAATATACTTGTCTACCTCAGAGATGGGCTGTGAAACTTAATTGTCTGCAGAGCACTTGGAGATAGTGAATAGAGCACTGAACTAAGGCTCGAGAAACCTGTTTCAGGTTCTGCTATTGATCGGTTGGGCAAGCCACTTCATCTCTCTGTGGCTCTATTTTTCCATCTGCCAGGTGGAGATGCTGCTGCTGTCCTCCTTGGGAAAGCATCCTGAGACTTAATGATGAAAAGCTGACAAAAAGTTAAATAGTATGATTGAGAGAGAAGCATTTAAGTGCAAGTTATAATGAATGTGTCCAAGACAAAACCTATTCCCATTAATACTAGCGGCAAAATTCTTACTCTTCCACTGAAGCGCAGGGAATTTGCAGGAAAATGAAATGCAAGCAGTGAACACTTGGTGAGGTAAGAATGAAGGGGAGACTTCCCCAAACACAGGGATTCTGTGCACAGCCTAACAACAACGGGATCAGTTCTGATTAACTCCGAAAAATTAATCTCCTATTTCCTCACTGAAAGGCAACTTTTAAATATTTAATTGCTATACATACTGTAGAATGATAGCTCTATATATGAAGATATAACAGGAACTTGTTCTGGGTACATTATATTATCCCCTTGCAGAAGGATTTCCCTTAGGTCAAACGGATATCAGGCAACATCTTCTCTAGAGCAGATAGTTGCTACCCCATAACTCCTCAGGCCTCATCTTGGCCCGAATGCTATTGATCCTCCTGTGACAGTTCACAGGCTCCCTTAAATGCACCAAGAAGTCCAGCAGCTAATAACCAGCTTCATTCAATTCCCAGTCACATTATTATCCAATCTGCCAGATGCATTAATATTCAGAGGTGAAATGGGAGGGAGGGCAAGGGTACTGGGGGAGGGGGAGCACAGAGAGGAAGAGGGGAAACCAGCACCAAGCTGGTGTCATCAAGAATCCTCTCTTACAGTCGGCTTGAAAAACAACTAATTTGAGCACCCTGTTGACAGGGGAGTGTCCCTAAATAGCCTCGGCATTAACTTCTACTCCAATTTGTAAACAGGGCACAGGAGGGCTGAATGAGGGAAAAGATGCAATGGTTTGCCAGATATGTTCTCTACCTTTTCTCTACACTGAGCCCAGCTCAAGGGCTTGGTCCTGTGGAGTGCTAAGCACCCTCTGCTCCTGCAGAAACCGCTACCTGGGAAAGGTACCTGGCACCCTTTTGAAGCAGGCCCCAAGTAACTAACATTATTGATCTCCAAAGGTGTCATGGGCCAGTTCTGTGCCCTGAAGGGGCAGTGCACAATGCAGGGGCAGTAGCTGGGGTTTCACAGCTGCAGCAGATGTTGCCTCCCTTTTTTGCTGCCAATACACTTCTTGAACAGCCATTTAAGCACCAATTTTTCAGCATCAAAAATGAAGTCAAGGTTAACCCTCTTGGATTCCCCCTCCTCCCTCCCGCTTCTGTCTACTGCTGCCCCTGAATTATTTGCTACCCCCACCCAGGCACTGCTAAGCCCGTCACTGCTCCATGTTCCCCAGCTGTGCCAGAGCCAGCGCGGGAGCTACTGTACAGAAGGTGCAAGATGCTGGGGGCAGGGTGAGGCACCCCATTCTGTTCCAGTCCCTCCCCACCATATGGAAAGCCCAGGGCTTGTGTCCTTCTCACCACCACTAAATAAGCTACTATTGATCTCCCTCTTGAAAAGAGAGACAATTTCAGAACCTTCTCAGCTCTGCCATGCTTTTCTACACTACTTGGTACTTTGGGTCTCCCTTTCCTATATTCCTGACTGTTGCCCTGGACAGGCCGTTGTCCTGTCCTGCTGCTCCTGGATCAACATTCTAGCTCTGTTTCGCATAGCTGAATAGGCAGGATTCATGTTGTGCCCCAGGTACATCTGTCTGTATTTCTTCCTGCGAGTCAGGACTGGGACTCCATCTTCCTCTAGGAGAAGCTTCCTATTTTTTCCCTCTCTCCTAAGCAGTCTTTGAACACAGGCTCACCCCTCTCTTATATTCTTCAGCATCCTTTAGCAAAACAGAAGTTTCTTTTATCTTCCCTCATGAAATGTATTCAGCATTTTTAAATGCATAAACCCACTACCCAAACTGAGTCCTATAGAAGTGCAATATGTAGTAGTAGTAGTAAGGGAGATTTTTTGCAATTATTTTTGACAGATGAAAAGGCACTTGTTTGAAATCAGTGCCCTAAGATTAAAAAACAACAACAACAACAACCCCCCCCCAAAAAAACAATTCTGGTAGAGGCCTGTAAATGAGGTCTTGTGGAGACTAGGCTGTAGCAATTTTATGGTCTTCAGCCCAGCCTCAGGGGGGGTTGTGGGTGGCAGGAGAAAGCCACCCCAGTTAAAACTTTCCTGTTGGATTTCTATGTGAAAGAGATGCTTTTTGAGGAATATTGGGAACTGATCATGCAGTATCTAGTAGAAACCCCCAGGTTGTAGTGTCCAAATGCTGCTGCTGTCTGATGGGTGCCACGGCCTCTGAACTTCTCTTCTGTTCCCACTGCTCATGTGTCCAACCCACCAAAATGCTCTTACAAAACTCTAAATTATTAAGTAGTCCCCTACCCCTTAATGTAGAAAGATCTAGAGATCAATGGGGTATGGAGGCTGAATTCCCTCTTTAGAGGACTGACAGGACCATGTGGGGATAACTTTCCCTGATGCCACCCTCCCTCCTTGTACTTCTTGCATTTACACTTAAAGGCTCTGGCTTCATTCAAACAGCTTCCTCCTGGAGCCTGGGGCAGGGACTTTGACAATTACTAAAACAGTCCGATTTTCTCAGTCTCGAGGGAGCAACGCGCTTCGAGCTTAGGTCTGCCAGCTCAAGGATCCGATGAGTTACCACTCGGGTTAGTAAGAGGCGCTGGCTCCCTCCGAGGTCCGGCGGAGCCTGATTGCAGCTAGGCATAGACAACAGTTTCGCAGATAGATCAGCTTGAGCTAAATCGATAAGACCCTACAGACCCGTCTGAGTGTCTTTCCCCCGTTACACCCATATAAAAAGCCACCGTCGGGGCTTACCCAGCCTGGCCACACGTGTCACGTGAATCAGCTAAAGGCATAAAGTCAATGGCTTTAGACTCCGGCGTGGCTGCACTCGTTTCCTAGTCAAGTGGCTGAGACGCACGCGGTAGTTTAGGGAGGACTAGAACGGGGATTAACGGGGCTTTGCCTTACTGCATCATTTTCACACCCTGTTCGTACGAACTGCCCCGGGTCTCAAGTCCTACCCGCTCCTAACGTGATTAGGTGCAGGGGGGAAGCTTGTATAGGCGGCCGTGGCGGAAAGACCCTGCGTGGCCGCGAGCCGCGACTCGCCCTTCTGCAACCCGCAGTTGCTCTCGGCTCCGCGCTCCTCGGGGGAGCAGGGGCTGTCCCGGAGCGGGGCGCAGCGAGGACCGCAGCGCGGAGGGTGGCGCGGGCCGCGCGGCATTGGTCGGGCGGCTGCTCCGGGGCAGGACGGCGAGGCTGCCTGGCGCTCGTGCCGAGCGGGCA